GGCACAGAGCACGGGAACAGGCTGCCCAGGAGGGTTGTGGGGTCTCCCCCTCTGGAGACATGCAAAACCCATCTGGACACGTTCCTGTGTAACCTGCTGTAGGTAGCCCTGTCTTGCCAATGGGTTGGACTGGGTCATCTCCAGAGTTTCCTTCCAACCCTGGCCATTCTGGGATTCTGTGAAACACTTTTCAAGGGACACACTGCCTCTTACCCTATTTATGTCCATGGGTAGGATCTGGGCTGATGTTACAAGTATACAAATAATCATCCCACCAGTCTCCTTGTCAAATCCCCAGTTATAAAACACCATGGACCACAGACATGGTGATTTGTTTTAAATACCACAGATGTCTCTGGCAAAGCACAGAACTGGACTGTGGTTTCCCATCTCCTGCTGCAGCAAGCAAACCTCTGAAAACCATCAGTGGTTTCTAGTCAGAAAATGGAGGGTGTTTTCCAGAGGAAGGATCTGCAATATTAAGGGCTGATGACTAGGGCATTTAAAACAAGGCTGTTCTTTAAAAGGAAAGCTCTAAAAAAATATCTTCAAACCGGACCCACATCAGGATAATCAGACTGAAATTGGAAAAGAATGTTAGCCACTGCCACAAACAAACAAGTAACAGGACAGCCACAGTTGTTTGGCCTACACAATGAAAAATATTTACAAACTCTGGCGATGAAATCAAAGCTGACAATGGTCATCTGCTTCAGGGTCAAACCTTTCAATGGCTTTTGCGGCATTTTGTTCTACATCAAAATATAACCCCACTGTGTCTCTAATGACTGGACTACTTGAGAGGTTTATGTAGAACCTAGTGGAATAAACCCACTAAAAATACCCTATCCTTGGGGAAATGGACTTTTTCTTCCTCTCTGTGTATCCCGTATTACACTGTACAGGCTACATGAACTTCAAAATCTGTGAGAGATTATGTTCACTGAGCATTGCCTATAATGGGAAGATTTCTAAGTATGTTTTAGTTCTGTTCAACCTTAATCAGAAAGCCTCTTCTGTTACAGTTTTGGTTTTAGCCCCTTAGGTAAGGTCACAAAGTCCTCAGTATACATGATGTAAAATAATAAGCACTGAACTATTTTGGCACCACCAGTAGTTGGTGGGATGAACGAGTACTTGATTCAAAGCCCCATTCAGTGCTGACATGTTTAAAACCCACACTTTATTACCGATCGTAACATGAATTTGGCAGTAGAGAAGTCTGAATCTGTTCAAGACTGAATAGGACAAACACATTCCTTCTATCCTCACCTCCTTTAAGACTATAACTGCCGCAGTCTGGCTTTCTCATCAAATTGTACAAAACTGGAATGTGAACACAAAGGAGAGGAGAACTCTTACCAGCAGCTTGGTATAACTGTCATATGCCTTGGGGGGGTTCACAGCCAAAACCACAGCTGTTCTTGGTTATCAGAGAGGATGGTATCCCAGAGCAACGGGGTTTCCAGCATAGAATGCCACCTCGGAGTTGGAGGGTGCAGGTGAGGTCACAGAAGGGTAGTAGTGGCACAACAGGGCAGGGCAGTGTTACTGCAGGCTCCACAGGGCTTTCTCATGACACCTGGCAAGCAGTAAATGTGATTCTCCTGTTTGTAAGCATTATAAATCAAGAACACAGATCTTGTAAGTGGCACTGTTCCTCCTGGAGATGTTTTTTAATCATATCCAAGTGGCTATGCTTTTGTATGTAGGTGTGAGGAACTTACAGGTCTAGGAGGTGGCTGTGAACTCTTCATTTACAGAAGAGAAAAAGCAAATGGACCCGACGCTCGCTGGTGGTGACACAGAGAATGAGTCTGAGAAGAACGAAGGTATGGTGTTTAGTTACTAGCAAACTCGCTTCAGAAACAGTCAGAAATGGCCAAATTAAAATCACCAGCACCCAAGAGGGACTGCTGTTGCAGCAGGCTAACCAGCAGGTGGGAAGCCTTCCCATCCCCAGGCCAGATAGCAATGAAGAGAAAGGTGCCAAACAGGGATTCAAGGTGCAGTGACCAGGGACAGGAGCTGCCACCTGGGAGCAGCTTCAGGAAACCAAAATGGACCAGAAGAGGGCCTGCCAGCACCAGTTTTCAGGCAATAAAGAAGTCTCCAGACCCATAACTTTCCATTGCATTGGTTTTAATACCAATAAATGCTTTTAAAATTTCTGCTTGAATGAAAATATTATTATTTGTAGCAGTGCCAATTTCTACAGCATCGCAGGGGTGCAGGGACCACTTCTGGGTCTACCTCAGAAGGCTCAGTCCACACACTGCAGGATTGGCTGACATACTGGACACAACAGCCGTGTTATCGGGGCATGATACAGTCTGGATGGGTTTTGTTTAGCATAGACAGTCTATTCCCCAGAATGGGAAGTTTAAGAACTCTGTTGCACTAAAGTAACGCAAGTAAACCCGTAATTTGAACAAATAGTCTGGCAGAAGGAAAAGGTCTTAATGAAGGAGCTGCAGCTGCATGGTTGATTGAAATAGAGTGATGTGAGTGCCAGCTGACCAGTATTTCCCTTACATAGGTCTGAATGAACAGCCAGTCTGCAAGCTCCACATCACACATCAATGCTAAGTTATACCCAAGAAGAGTACAAAATTACAGGTCCATAGCCTGGAGCTCTAAAGGGAAATAAGGAGTAAGGGAAAAAGGTAGTAAAAGCACTGACAGAGAATGAAAATGAAGACCCAGAGTAGAGAAAAAACATGTATTATGTTACTAGCCAGAAATTATTTTGGCAAAATTACTTTTTTTTTAATGCGTTTATTCCTCTTAAAAAGTATTTTTCCAAATTCTCCTTCTCTCTAGCTATAAAATAAACTATGAATCATAGGCAAGGGAAGCTGTATCACTTCCAGTTGGTCTGGTTACACTCAGTCCTAATGTACAGTTAGCATTCAAATGCTTTCTCTTCTGCCATGCTTGAAGAGTACTACAAAGCATTCCCAGTATGATCACAAAGTCAGCCAACAATGTCCTGCCTATTCCTCGGGAAGCGTGAGTCAGTTCAGGAGAACAAAGAGGAACTGGCATGGGTTTGGCTTGTAGTTTTATGGGGAAATGGGATGGAGAGGGGAAATTTACTTTGCTGGAAGGCTCAGAAATTGAGAAAGGGGAGAATTGCTCATGAGGGAACGAAGACCTAGTGTGAGAGAACTGTGAGTCCCCCACGCAAGGGCTGCAGAATCTGGGGAGGGCTCCATCCAAAAGGTGCCAAGTCATGGCCAGTCTGCAGCCCCACAGTGAGCCCATCCCCACACCAAGGCCAGCACCGCATGCGTACAGTACACAGGGAGCAGTGGGCACAAAGCTGGGCTGGGGAAGGAGTGGATCCACAGCATGTTGAAGAGGGGCATAGGCTTCAGTGAGAGCAGTGGGAGATCTATCACATCCAGAGAGTCACATGAATCTGAGTCTGACACAATGAATCTGTTTGGTTTCATGGCAGACCAGAATGAAGCAACATCCGAAATCAGTGAGTCTCCAGAGTCTGTGTCACTGTGTGACACCTCAGCAGAGAAGGCCACAGAAGGCTCTGACACTGACCTAGAGGTTGAAGGTGAATGTTTTCTGACCGTCTGTCCTCACAAGCCTTTCCCTTTCCCTGCAGTCAGACTTGTACCCACCAGCTGGTATGTATCTGAAATGGAGACCAGGGACACAACCCTGCCAGGGTCCTGACAACCATGTGTAATTGGGCAACTGATAAAGACCAAAGTGAATGAATTTCCCTCTAATAGCTCTCCCTTTACGTCAAGCATCTTCCTACAACTGCTTTTTATACACCATGGCTATTCCTTTGTCCTTCTCTCCTCTAGTCCTTAACCACCATGACCAGCCCAGCCCACTGCCTGGGCAGCAGGAGCAGCTAGCTGAAAATAGGGATGGGACTGAGGCCCTGTTAGTATGCTCCTGACGGAACACTGCATAGCGATTGCAGTCCGTGTACCGTAGGTTTGCCACAACCGGCCTAGACTTCCCCAGTGACTCTCCTCTTATCTTCTGCCTCATTAATTCACTCCTTTGGCTAAACAAGTCTTGCACTCATTTTTGTAACAGTAAGAGTTGTCCACAATTTAGGATGAGAACTTTTTAACTTGTTATAAATGGATGGAAAAATCAAAATCTGTAAGAATGCAAGAACAAAAGACTGTTATGTTAGAGGCCTCAGACTGAACTGGAAAATGGCTTTGATGAGAGAGGAATTTGTCTTGAGGTCAGACCACTGAATGCACATAACAACATGGAGAAATATAAGCTCTAAGTATGGGGGTTGATGAAGGAATTCCAAATGACAGGGTTTTGTGGAAATACAGCTGCCAGCTGGACTGATACATCTCACTGCAGCTGTGTCAACAGCAACCAATGGCCAAGATGAAAATGCTAGGATTCTTTCTGCTGGTTGTAAGCCAAAATGTTCTGAGCTGCCCTGGCTCTGATGGTAATATCAGCTGCATGCTTCAGTTAAGATTTTAAATTAAAAAAAAAAAAAAAAAAAAAAGAAGAAAAAAAAAAGAAAATGTTTTTGCCTTATGCCAAGAATTCTCAATTACACCAAGAAAGGTCTAGTCACACTGCAGACTGTTGAGAAGCTGCAGCAAGTCACTGGATGCCAAATGGAGAAGCAAGTAGGATACATTAACTCTTGGAGGCCTGGGATAAAGGGATTGGGAGAACATGGGGAAAATGATCCTTTAAGTGTAAAACCCTACTGTTGTTGCATAGTGTTACTTAATTCTATTAAGTTACTTAATTTCTTTAAGAGAATGCACCACTCATCAAATCCTTTTTCTCTGTAGATCCTCAGAAGACCTTTGTGGGCACTACAGGTGCAGAGCTGTACTTGGAAGCATGCAGGCTGATGGAGGTGGTGCCTGTCTCATACTTTATTCAGAACATGGCCAAGTCTTATATAAACCTGAACCACTATGGTCTAGGACCCAAAGGTGTCAAAGCCATTGCTATTGCTCTAGTGGTGAGTAGTCAGTAAGAGTAAGCCCACTGTTCTCAAGAACAATAGGCATTTTAGGCCTCTCTCAGGCCTGGAAGCCATCACTGAGTATACACTGTGAGAGAAAAAGTCAGATATCTTCCCCATAGGAGCTCTGAGCATCCGTAATATTTCTAATCCCCTGCACAGGAAAGTCTTGTGTGGCAACTGCTGGCCTTTGCTGGAGTTACCCCCAAAAGCAAACTGATGCTTTTCCATGGGACATAAGTCCCCAGCACTCCCAACCCCTACAGGGCCAGAGGTAGGGCTGTAGGGACTGGTATCCCCCACTATGGGTTCTGCATAGGGATGTGCTACACTCACCAGATGACAAGCCCATGATGCCTGAATTGGAACTTGGATCTGAACCTGGGTCTTCAAGCTGGCAAAAAGCAATGGAAAGTCCTACCCACTCAAAACTTCTCCAGGAAAACATCTTTTTTGTATGCCAATTCCTACTGCCATATATCTGTCACGACCCGTCATCACTGTCCTGCCCAGGGTCTGCAATGCTTTCTGAGGTTTGGAGGAAATGTCCAGAGTCTGTTGAACTGAGAAAACTACCCCCATCACTAACTTTTCAGCAAATTTTTGTGTTTCTTTGTTTGCCTTTGTGTCTTCCCAGTCCAATGAATGTGTCACCCATCTAGAGTTGGAAGACAACTGCATGCTGGCAGAAGGAGCCATATGCATAGCAGAGATGCTACGAGAGAATTCCACCCTTCAAGAACTGGTACCCCATCTGACATAGTTTGAGGCCAAAATTATTGCTCACCAAGTTCAATCATCTGAAAGAAACCCAATTAATTCCATTACAATTTTAACCAAATAACCTTTGTTCTCATGCAAAAACATTCACTTTCTGAAAGTTATGATATTTTATGCTGCTCTACTTTTAAAAAGTACAAGGTTCTGGAAAGCTGAAGTGTGCATGTGATGGCAGCCTGGTGAGTCTGGAACTGTTCTCTTCATTAGCAGATGTGACAATAATTACCATAACTAAATCTTTCTAGTTCATGCTTAGCCAACAGAAAAAATGTTTTGGTCAGGAACTTTCATTCTCCAATATGACATGGGAAACTTTTCTAAATAGATTAAGAGAATAACACAAAACTTTCAGATATGAACTGGTAGGAATGTTCCTGCAATCTGAAACAGGGGTATACAAAATGCATTTTGATAGACCATGGAATCTATGTTACACTGGAAGAAAAGATTATTGGCCACATGCCTCTTGGTTCACTGAAGACAAAGACCCATGTGTAAACTGATAGCTCAGGGCTTTATTCCTGTTAGGAAGGATACAGGATTAAACACACCTATAACTCACATGTTAATTACTGTCTGGCTGGCATTTCTCATATTGCTTATCTTCTTTCCTTGATATCTTGGTCAGTAAGACAATAAAGATCATTCATTCTTTGGACTCATCCTTCTTATCCTCCCTTCTTCCCTTCCAGAACATCTCAAATAACCACCTAGACACAGCAGGAGCTGAAGCCATTGCCAATTTGCTTTTGGACAACATGTCCTTCCTCCACACTATTCAGCTCTCAGGTAGGTTGTATGTACCAAAAAAGTGATGGCAGGGGAAGTGAAATAATATCTATTAATTCCAATCTCTCATCTTGAGAATATCAGTCAGACTATGGGCAAAATGTTTGGCCTGCTCAACCTCCAGCACCTCTGAAAATTAGTCCCTTACAAGAAACTTAGATAGTTGCTGGAGTGTATCCCACATCTTGGGGTAATTCTACTCTGTAATGAAGTGGAATAGTGACTAACTTCTGTATTCAGCCTGGCTGAGATGGATTTAGTTTTCCCCATAGCAGCCCTCATAGTGCTGTGCTTCATATTGGTAGCTAGAAGAGTGTTGGTAACACACCAGTGTTTTGGCTACTACTGAGCAGTGCTCACACAGCATCAAGGCCATCTCTCCAACATTCTATCCGTCTCACCCCATGGGCTGGGGGTGAGCAAGACATTGGGAGAGGACACAGCCAGGACATCTGACTCAAGCTGACCAAAGGGATATTCCACACCATATCACATCTGCTCAGCAATAAAAGCTAAGAGAAAGGAGAAGGAAGGGTGGCATTTGTTATTATGACGTTTGTCTTTTGGAGCAACCACTACACATACTGCCTAGGAAGTGGCTGGACATCACCTGCTGATGGGAAGTAGAGAATAAATCTTTTTTGCTTCCACACATGGCCTTTGTTTTTGCTTTATAAACTGCCTTTATCTTGACCCATGGGGTTTTTTCCATCTTACTTTCTCCCCTCTCCTCCTTGTCCTGCTGAGGAGGGGAGTGATAGAGGGACTTAGTGGACACCTGGTGTCCAGCCAAGGTCAACCCATTACAACTCCTTACAGCCAGATATGGGTATGATTAACTGGGGGGCCCACCTAAAAACACAGCTTCCTGCAGACCCCAGCACAGCACCAAGGGATAGATCCGTGCACTGCTAACATAGTTTTCTTCCCCAGGAAACAACTTTGGAGAGGAGAGTGCACTGTACTTTTCTGAGGCATTAATGGTGAGTTACCTGAAATCCAAGGTCATTTGCAGCCCTGGCTGTGTAACAGATTCTCCTCATCTTGAAGCTGCTACTTACTTGGCATGATGTCACTTGGCAGTGCCTACATGATTTCCTGGCATAATTCTGCTAAGTGCCTCTAGCTTATTTCAGAAATGAGAGAGGCTGGGAGGACACAGAGCAGGATAGACTATGTTAACATTTTCTCAGGAGAGCTGTGTGAGTCCGGCTGAGAAACAAACCTTCAGGACTCTGTAACAGAAGAATAAAACAACACCTGGGTGACAAAAAAATGTCAAGAAGCATAAGAAACCCAAATTCATCTCATTTTGCAATTCTCCGGTAGAAATAAGATGCTTGGCTTCTCCGGTTAGTTCCTGTATGAAAGCCTCTGCATCATTTGGCACCACCAGAAGCTGCCCTGAAGCAAGACCTTGACTTGATATCAGAAAATACTCTTGGTCAGGATCCAAAGATGCAAGCAAAACAGGGGCAGGAACAGAACTGCAGGGTGTGTTGTGGGCCAGACAAGAGCTGTGTGAGGAAAGTTTTTGCTGTTTTGGGAGGAGAATCACTGTGATGTTATATGCCTGACAAAGGTTTGTTTTGGGATACAGTGCCATGCTGATAATCTCCCATGCACTGAAGATTTCAGTGTGTCTGATATCCCTCTATTTCATCCTTATGTGGGAGTCGTGGGGTGGCATCTGGTTGCAGCTGGCTAGAGGAGCTCATTTTCTCTGCATGTCTGTGTCTCTGCAGAGCAATTTCCAAGTGAAGGAGCTGGACCTCAGCCACAATGAGTTCTCTGAGAAGGGAGGACAGCTCCTGGGACAGATGCTTGGTAATTTATTACTCCTGGAGTACAGGCACTGGGGGACTTGCTGGTGTCAGCACAGAGAACATGCATTTCTTTCTTCAGCAAAAATGCCCCATGACATGTGGGTAGTACAAAAGACAGGGTGCTCAGATTTAAGGCTTCCTGCCTGGTCCAGAATCTCATAAATGCAGGATGAGGAACTACTAACAAAGCAGTCTGTGTCTGAGAGAAGGGAGCTGAAAGAGAAGCTCCTCAGGGAGTATAAGCAGAGAATTGCATTTTACTAAAATCAAATACAATCAGAACTGTTGTTGTTTTAAGCTTTTGATTACAAAGGTTAGGAGTTACTTCAATTTTTCTTAAATAGCCCAAACCCTAATGGTCTGAGCCATTGCACAGCAAGCAGTAAGAGAAACAGATTAGGAAGAAATAAAATTAAGCTGCCTAATTCATCTGTTCAGGCAAAGTGAGATCCAGAGTGTGCTAGTAGCCCTGGAAAGGGAAAGCAAACAAACCAGTTACAGTCTTTCAGTAATCTCAGGTGCTATTAGTGCACTGGGAAAGATGTGAATGAACATCTGACACTCTTCTTCCCTCAGTATGTCCAGCACGTGTGCTACCATAAGGGCCACAAGAGCATGCTATCAGCATCCAGCTCATTCCTAGAGCATCCGGGTAACACAAAACCTGCAGTTTAATTGACAATTTCCTTCTCCTGGTTCAGTATTTCCCCTGATATGTACTTCTTTCTAATTACAGTCCATGTCTTTAAAAGATGGATCAATTAAAACTGCAGTGAGGACAAGGCATTCTGTCCCCTGCCTTGGACAAGCCTGCAGGCAGCATAGAGATCAGTACTAAAACTTGTGACCATCCTAACCCAGAAAAAAGCCACTCCAAAATTAAAGGTGTTAAAGCTTGTCTCTCCTTCCAGCTCACTTGAGGCAGGAGCAGCAGTGATTACTGTGGAATCTGCTACTTTTTTGGTTTGTTTCTTAAAAGAGTATTTTTAAGTCAGCTAAACTCACCATCTGCCTACATCCAACCTCCTATCCATGGAAAATCTGGATGAGAAATTCTCTTTGAGAAGGAGAAGCAAGTGTTGGCGGCAAGTCCTACCCCTCCCAATGTCACAGTAGACACAAATGAATTCACACATAGCCTGCTCTAAGTAGAACTTATACTGTGAGGTGTGCTATGCATGTGAATTTTCACTGGTACATATACAGCGGGGCACAGCTATTATGTGAAGCTGAAGTCCTCTCTTCTACTAATCAAACATATGCAGAGTGAGTCTTGATATTTTAGCTGTGATAAGGAGAATCCAGCATTTTTTGCAGTAAGAAAAACAGTGTCTATTAATGTAAGAAATCCTCCCTCCCTCTATCTTCCTCCTTCACAACTTATTCTTTGCTTAAGCCAGAAAAAAACCTGTGTTCCCTTTCTGCTTCTGATCAACAGCCCAATCTCTGCTTTTTGGGTTCTGTGGACAGCAAAGACTCTGTAGGTACATGTTGCTCCTACTGCAGTCAAGGAAGATGTTGTGGTTTAAACCCTAGCTACCAGCACCACGCAGCTGCTCACTCACACCGCTTTCTCCCCTGCCAGCATGGGATAGGGAGGAGAATCGAAAGAATGTAAACCCCATAGGTTGGAGTAAGAACAGTGCAATAACTAAAATACAATATAAAACTCATACTACTACTACTAATGATAATAATGATAAGGGAAATAACAAGGGGAGAGAGCATAAAAACCAAAAGGGGAAAGGGAAAAATCAAACAATAAACAACAGTGATACACTATACAGAAAATTAACTCTATCCCAGACAAAACCAGGACAGAAAGCTGTTGCTGAACCCCCAGAAAACTTTCTCTTAGTCCCTAAGTGGGTCAGCAGCTGTGTCCAGACCATTCTTCACAAGCTAATATCTCCGTTTCTCTCTCTTCTAGACAGCAACTCAAAACTAGAGATTCTGGACCTGAGCTGGAATCACCTGAGAAGGAAGGGGACCGTAGCACTGGGAAAAGGTCTCAGGGTAGGAATGCCCCTGTTTTGTGATACCCTTCACAGTGATTATTACCAGGAGCTAGTTGAAACACTGATTGGGAACTTAGACCCCTGAAGTCTGAGCAGGATTTAGTAGCTCTAGCAAGGCTCATCCTACTGGCCATGGCACTCAGCTCCAGGAGTAAGACTAAGCCAGTCAGCAGGTCTGGTGACTTACCTACTGGATGGAGACACCCTGGTGACATTGCAGAAATGCTGGATCCACTGGGAGCTGTCTGGCTGTGACTTGCAGGATGCTCATGTCTCAGCCAAGCAAGAAAGGGTAGAGTGGTAAAGAAGATGGGCATGCAGTACCTAAGATCCTTCTTCTCTCCTTGGAGGGCAATGGTGCACTGAAAATACTCAACCTTTCTTGGAATGGCATTGGCAACGAGGGAGCAAATGCCCTAGGAGAAGTTCTCAAAGCCAATGACATGCTGGTTCACCTGGACATCAGCAACAACCAGATCAACAATGAGGGAGCCAAGAAGCTCTGCAGAGGCCTTGAAGCCAATGAAAAACTCAGAATCCTGAAGGTAAAATAAAGCTCAGGCAGAGCTCGAGGAGTAAGCAGAGGGAGTAGAAAGATCTGAGACAGGAGGGACAGAAGACAGAAGTGACTGAGCTAGAACTGGAGGAAATGAGTATTGCTCTGGGTTGAATTGAGCAGAGAAGAAAATATTATCCCATTAATTTCTTCCCAGGCAACTAAATTGCACTGTTTCCTCAAAAAATGCCCCATAACCCCACACCCATTATCACCCCTAAGTGTCTGATTCCTGACATGTCTAGTCTAAGTCAAGTGAGAACCTAGGCATTCAACATGTCTAGCAGAAAACCTGGGCATTCAGATCTGCATATATACATTAAATGGAGTTGTGAAAGTACATATGTACATGTAACATGAATTTCAACCTAAGGCAAAGGTTCACACTGAAGTTTGCAGGAGGGCAAGAGTGTGCCTTTCTCAGCGTGTTACTCATTTGCTAAAAATATATTCAAACACAGAATAAACTGCCATTGCTATGTCAGGGCAATGCCACAGCACTACCTAAAGAAGAGGAGTACTATCAAGTCCTGGAAAACGAAAGCCAAAACTGCCTTCTAATAAGCTAGGGATCAATAATCATCAAAAGGAAAACTGAATGACCAGCCAGACTGGCTTCAGAGGTCAGGGCTGAGAGCTAACATGTCTTCTCAATCCAAGATAATTCTCCAGGAATTCAGCTCAGAGAAGTCAGCTTGCTTATGAATCTCAGCTAGATTTAACTCCACCATCTTGAGAGCATGCAAATGGCAGTGTGATGGTTGAGGGGCATGTTTAAAGCTGTTCACGTAGACTTATCTTTGGACACCCCTGTCCTTGTAAATCACTGCAACCACACCAGTCTTTGGGACTGCTGGTTTAGATTATGTAAATAAATGTGTCTGTCTGCTTTGCTCTTAACCTGACTTGAGGTAAGGTCACTAGCTCACACCAAGGCATTACTCTCTCTGTGTAGCTGCACAGATTGTCTTAGGAGCTAATAACACAAAGGACTTAAAGGAGGACATGTCTTCTGCTAGCCAGTGTTACTCAAGAAAGTTTTCTTTCAAACAGCGGGAGTGGGGACTGCACATGAAGTCCAAGGCAGGTGAGAGGCGATGTTCACACACCAAAAGATACACATGGCAATGCCAAACCCATAACACCAGATAGCTAGACTTTATAGGCCAGAGGCAGCTGATCTGCTTGGGCTTTGATCTGCTGGGCTTTGATCTGCTGGGCTTTGATCTGCTGTGCTGCCAAGAGGAGTCAAGGTACGGGAATGTCCCAAGGGGCATACCCTCATCCAGAGGGACCCTACTAGCAAGTACATATTCAAATGCCTCAGCCTCTCCCCTCATATGACTGAACATCACACACCCCTGTGCGACAGAGCTAAGAGACCTGATATGTAGAATTTCACACAAAGAGACCGCAGCTGAGAAGGCAACTCCACTGGGAAGTTGCACTGTAGAGCTCTGTGGGACAGAGACAAGAGATGGTGAGATAACAGACAAATCCATTGAAAGAGACCACAGTTATTCTACAGCCCTGATGAAGAATGGGAAGGAGGGGGTCATCCTTGAGGTTACAGCATGCCTTCTGCGAGGCAGAAGCCCTCATTATTAATATGTCTGGATCTCTGTCCCTTCTTCCACAGATAGCCGGTAATCCCCTGACCACAGAAGGTGCTACTGCGCTAGTCTTATCTATCAGAAAGAACTCCAAATCCATGATGGAGGAGATCAACATTTCAGTAAGAGCTTTTGTGCTGGAAAGCCTCCAAGACCGTACACTGTTCATTCTTAGGAACTGAGTGGATCACAGAGCTGCCCCCCTCCAAAACTGTTTTGAGACTTGCTGTTTGTTTCATTTAGACACAGCTACTAAAAAAAAAGGGCTAATATTTGACAGCCCTTCTAAGGAGCCATGTGGAAATTACAGGGCTTTGTTATAGCTCTGGAAAGAGGTGCTTGTAGTTATCACCACATTTCACTCCCTTCCATTTTGCAATAGCAGAGCAAGAACAAGGAGTGTTCCCACTGGGGGATGAATTCTCTTCATCCCCTGATGGTCTCCCCCCAGGGTAGCCTAACATGCTAGATCCTGTGAAGTGCTTTGATACCCTGACAGTATGTATGAGGAATAAAAGAAAATGAATACTCCAAATAGAAAGCAAAGCAATTTAATTATTAAAAAAATAAAAAACACACACACACACACAAAACACACACCAAAAAAAAAAAAACCCCAACCAAACTGAAACAAAACAAAACAAACCCCAAACACATTAAAAGGCTGGTGTGGAATTAAAAAAAAAGTCATAAAATCAAAGAGGCCAAAACTTAATATGCTATTCTATAACAAGTCAGGAACATGACATGTAGAGTTGTAACCTCAAGTGCTGCTTCTAAACTGGGATGCCCAGAAATGCTTCTGAGCTCCTGAGAAAGGATGAGAGTGTCACTGCAGACCAACACTGGGGAGAGACCTGGTCACACATCAGGCTGCTCCTGGACCTCCCATCCATGCACTGGTGCTTCATGGGAGCAGTTACAGAAGGTATAAGGGTCCTCAGGACCCTCCATCCACCTTTGGGAGCACCGTGATTAAAGGAAAGAGCATTTACACAAAGATTGGGTTTAGGACTTGCAACATAAATAATACGTTAACACTTGAAACAAGCTAAAAAGAAGTTCATGGGCAGTTTTGGAAACTCACGTAATGGGTTGTTTCTTTGGCTTGTGATTACTGTATTAAAGAAAGAAACCAAAACAAAGCAGAATCCATAATATTCAGCTGTGATCCTTCCTGAGAGTATTGAGAGCCTTCAACATAGATCATCTGAAGAACAGGCGTCCCTCTAGGGCAGACAGTATTTCCTGCATAAATTAAGATCAAAGAGAATTACTTGCCAAGTCTGCAAGGAGACAGACCTCATTCTGCAAAGGAAAAATAAAACGGGCTGTGTGGGGGTAAAGGACCTCATTGCAGTATATGTGGTTGTGCTAGTTTTATTACTAATTACATAACAATTCGTGAAGACTAACAGATTTTAGCTAAATTCTGAGAAATTAATTACTGAAATGCATTTACTTAAAAAGAGACAAATTTGAGAAATTTTGAGGCAAGGAGTTAATTAACATTAAGAATCTTCAATCCAAACTAAATATCACTATGAATTTCTGCTTTTTAGGGTTAACAGATTCTCTCTTCACTATACCCTTCAAAAAGTGTAAATTACCTGGCATTTCACAAGATAAATGGTCAATGGCATAAATTTGCAATGACATTTCAGTATCCCAGTCAAACGCTTGTAAGCAAACACCTAATCTGTCTGACAGACTTGATTTCACCTGTAGTGTAGGGAGTCTTGCATTTCAATTCAGAGTATTTGCAAATAAACATCCTCAAAGGTCTTGTGCTGTCTTAAACCTTTAAGAAATTAGTAAAGGTTTTAATATTTTATAGGAAACTTAAGTGAAGACATAAACAAAAGCCTCTTCTGCTCCTTTCCCAGTGATAAATGTTTATTTTGACTTGTAAAGAATGAATAATTCTGTATTATTACAGTGTGTCTGTAAAAGGAATTTGAAATAAGGGTCATATCTAGAAAACTTTGCATGGGTTTGACAGCACTAGCAAAGGCAACACAACAGAAAGGCACATTTTTAACAACAGTTTATTGCTTCTAAGAGCATTTCTAAGCATGACTGTCCCCCACATTCTTTTCATAATCTACTCTCCATAGGTTTCAACTTGCAGATAATATCAAACATTTTTCAGAAGTCAAAACAGCCAGCATATGCCCATCTTCACCATCACAGTACAAAAGAGAAAATTGTCTCTTTTCAGCTGTCCACCAGCTGTTTTTCTGGACTGTGGCCTGGCTGTGTCAAACATGCTGGAATGCACAAGCTGGCTCCCCCCTGGTGCCACCCAGCCCCAGCACAGTTTGTTAGGCCACAGTGCTTTGGCTGTGCTGCTTCTGAGGCCACACTGGCAGTCCACTGGCTTTCTCATGGGGTCAAGCCCAGGCTGGCAAGACTTGGGGAGAGCTGGAAGCCAGCAGAGCCAGCTTGGGCTCTCTTACGCTGTGTCCCCAGGACTAGGATACTCTGCTAGTGTGCACAGTGCAAGGATGTTTGAATGGCTCTGCACCTGTAAAACTATTGGTGCTGAATGAAAGCTAGTAAAGCCAGCCAGACCTAGATTTATTCTACACTGTCTTTGAGTAGCAGCAGTCAAGAGCTCACTGCACGGTAGATCATAAGCTTCTAGATGGATCTTAAGAACAGCAGATCTTTAGCTCCTAAAAAGAAACTGTAAGAATGCATTGGGAGACTTTGTAAATAAACTTTGGGAAAAAATAACAGTGCTTGATGCCTTAGGAACCTCCTGCAATGACATAAAACAGAAGCTTTCATGAATTTCCTGACCTGCTTGAAATTTCCAACAATGAAGTGTATAACTAACACAATACAGGAACAATTCCCCTGTCATCACGGTTATGAATTAATCATAATCATGTTTTTAAAAGATAAGCCAAGGCAGAGGCAAATTTGTCGTAACTGAAATTTAGAAGCATAAATTACACTGACATCAATAATATTTGCATTGATAGCTTACTTTCTAATATCCCAAAACTCTAAGTCAGGACACTGTGCTGCTGCCCATTCTGTAAGTGCTAAACCAGAACACTCACAGTGGAAGCCCTGAAATGCTGACCTCTCACTACGCTGCTTGAAATTCTTAGGAGTCTTGTACTGCTGATGGGAGCTTCCTATTGGGGTTACACAATGAAACAGAGCTTTACCTAAAGTTCTTTTTATCTGGAGACACCTGGACCCTTCCCAGACAGGTGCATCTTTTTTCTCTGGGCTATAAAGCTACACTGCTGGAGATACTAATTCTTCTAAGCCTTGGATGGCTGGGGTCATCTTAACCAAATGGAGAGAAGACCTATCTAGAACTGTCTCAGGGATGAACATAAATCACTTGAATCGCCTAACATAAGAGGTCTTTAGTGTAGACATTTACCTGATGAACATCTACTTAACATTAAGCTAATTTCTACATAAATTGGTAGACCCTTTTCTATCTCAGACCTGGGAAAAGAGAAAGAAGAACTCATTTAGGGCCGGGCCTTCATGGGATTCCTGCAAGTGAAGAGTAGAGATGACATAACCTAAGGCACGACCCTTAGGAGAGTATGATTAGATGGATTTTGTGAATGCAAACAGGTCTTTGTTGTTCTTTAGGTGTCCATGCTGACTACACTTTCCTTCCTCCTATGTACCAGAATGTGTTGGTGAACAAAACTTTCATCAAATTGCTGGATTTGGTGTATCAAATACGTCCTGAACTAAATGTCATCTATGGAGAAGTCGAAGGCTGTATCACCACCATGCCTGAGCAGCATCCGGACCCCATGAAAGTGATTCAGGTGAGCTACTGAACTTGATTCATAGCTCCTCTGTTCACAGTACACATGCTCCAAGCACTTGAAGCAATGGAGGTTGGAAGGGGTAAGTTTTCTTCCAAGTTCATTCAAAAAAGTATGTTCACAAAGATTGCCACAGTATTCACATATCTCAGTCCAAACAAACCTATGAAGCAAACCCTTTGATTTTCAGGGGAAGCTAGTGCCTTGGGATCTAATACCACTGGGGGAAAAAAAAATCTGAATAGATGTTCGCTTGCTCTGTAAAAAATCCTGATTGATTTCAGGTCTGATCCAAATCAATGTCCATCCTCATCACAAGCTCACCACAATAGCTGACTTTCCTAGAACTCTTCACTGACAGTTGTGCTTTAGCATCAAAATTAATGTGCTTCATATAAGTAGGAAATGGCGTTACAAGCAAATACTGTCCTAAACAGAAATTATTTAGCTTTTCAAAGTCTGTAATTTCTATGGATAGCAGCAGATGGTGCTGTCCTCCTTGATGGAAGGCAACACAAGCACTTGAGCGCTGCTGAGTTAAATAACACTTTTGCACTACCAGCTTCACTGTATTTCTTAGCAGCTGTGCAGATTTTCAGCTAACTGAATGAGACTTTGCTTAAGCAAAATCTTGGGCTGCTGGCTCACATCAAACAGTGCTGCTGTGCTTCACAGCTAGTGACGCTCACCCTAGCATGCTTTGCAGTGTTTAACAGCCATTATGGCTGTGTCCTCATTCAAACAGACAGGAATTCAGAGAAGAGCAACTAAAGTGATCAGAGATCTGGGCGAGAGGACTGCTCTGGATTAGACAGCTTAGCCAAGCAGCAGCTGCTGGGATGAGCATAGGCAATTATCAGAAGAAACAGGTTTACTACTGAGTCTATAGGTATAACTGAGAGGTGTAACTCAGAAGCATTGGATTAACCTGAAAAAAGGATTTTGTTCTGACAATAGAGTGGCTGCACAAGGAGTGAAGGACTCATATATCTCAGTGGTAGGATGAGGAAAGGCAAGGTGACAGAAGAATAAGGGGAGAGCTGGAAGCAGGTATTGGTGGCTGTTTCATGGTTATGCCCATGTTTCATCCTTGCTTCTCTTAGAACTACTTGAAAGAACGCAACCTACAACTCTGGGACTTTTTTAGGAAGATTGATGAGGAAGGAAACATGAAGATCCCTGTGGCTGCTTTCCGGAGAGCCATGATGCAGGTACACCTCTGAAAGCACTGCCAGATGCTCTTCTGGCACAGCACGGCTCTAGGGACATGTCTCTGCTGCAGCCTTGCTGCTGACATTGTTCAGCTAAAAGGCTAAATTCATCCACCACAAAGGCTGAGTCCTGAATGAGACCAATAGAAATGCTATGACATCAAATAAATACTGCAGGTGGCATCAGTGATAATGGATCAACTTTAGAATATCACAGAGGTCCTCTGTTTGTATAGGACATACAGCATCCTGACAGATACTTAGTCTTACTGCTACAGGAAAGTGAAAAAGAGGCACCTAAACCCTTGACTCTATACACTGAGTATAGAGTCTATATACACTGAGGAGACAATTCTCTTCCTGTCAAAACCACCATGGTGCTTGAGATCAGTAGCAATGGTCAGCCAGCCATGGTGCTCTTTTACAAAATATGGAGAACAAAAATTCTGATTTTCATCCTAAAAGAGTGAAACTGCCTCCCCACCACCACTCTGGACCTTTTCCATTCCTTCCTCCATGCACCAAGCCATCTGCTCACCTATTAAAAGATGGCCAGGTCCCAGTCTGATATGGAGGATTTTTCTGCTTAGAAATATTCTTGCTAACATTTTGCTAACATTTCTCCTCTTAGCATCCAAGCATCCCAATGGATCGCATCCAAATTGGGGAACTAGTGCACAAGCTAGACCGGAATCGGACAGGGGTTGTGGACTACAGGTGAGTGAGTGATTCCACTTACTTGTCTTTCTTCTTTTAATTTGGCTAAACACCAAATAAACACAACCTTATTCACATTAGGAGGTGAAGGGACTTATGTTTTTGCCCAGTAGATGGTAGATGAAAAAATAACTTGGGAGCTTAGAAGCTGTGCTGAGTCAAACTAGAAGTCAGTCTTACTCTGTTTGATAAACTTGCTGTGAGAGTGCAGGGATCTCAGAGCTGAATGGCATTTTCATTCATTCTTGTAAGCCTTTGTGGGAAGCATCAGCTCAACACTGTCCTCCCCAAAAGGCAGGGTAAGATTTGCAAAGACAGCACATGTGCCTTCAGACTTCTTCCTCCATCCTCAGGGACTTTGGGTTTTTTTCCTTCTCTCTGATCCTTCTTCTTAGGAGATCTAGTTTTCCCTGGAAACCCGCCTTCAAACTACAGAACTTTTCATTCTCTTGAAAGTGCATCTTCTTAAGTGCCTGTAGCAATCATGTCCAAGTTCTGAGAGCCTGAGCAGTCAGCAGCAAACTCCTCGGAGGTTGTCAGTCGCTGCAGGCTAAATTGCTTGTCATTGGACCCAAACTCCCCCTAGATTTTCAGTCAGTTCTGACATGTGACTCATCAGCTGAAAGCCCTATTCATCGTGCCCAAATATTCCCATCCCTCAGCACATACTGATGGGTTTAAATATATGCTGTAGTCTAGTTTTAAGGCTAGAAGCAATAGGTCAGTTTTGTAAATCTCTTCCCCTCTTAGCCTCCTAATGTTTTCAAAGAGAAGCAAGTTACTTTGTTAGGTCCAGTCTTTATTCCTTCACATATACTGGTGCCATAGCCATACTAAAAGCATCCATGCACAGATGCTACATGGGCCTTAGCCTGGTTAATCTTGACTCAGAGGTCACATGGAGTTCCCAAGTACTTTAGGAACAAATTACAGAACTGAGGTTATATAGTAAGCAGATTATGAACTGTTGAACCTAAATGGTCAGCAAAGACTTCATTTGATGCCATTAATGTGCTGAGTTGATATGTGGGGAAAAATAGAGCTATCTACTCCTTATCTAGCTTCATAATGGATCTTAGAACTGTAGCATGTGTGGCAGTAGTAATATTCACCTTGTAGACAAAAGTCAAAAGAGTTGTGACCTTTGCTGTCCTTACTGTTCCCACTCAGGCTGTTCCCTCAAGTACCCGTCAGCAACTTAAGAGACCTGACAGGGAAGGTTCACTTCACTAGACTAACACTTGTTCATCTCCTTTTCAATCAGTCACTTCAAAAAGCAGAAGCATGTGGAAGAGGAATAGAAGAAAGAGCTGTAAAATGAAGCCAGGAAGCAGGTCAGGCAATGAAATATTGTATGAGAAACACCGGAAGAAAGCTCAGAGTCACCCTGGGCTTGGGAATGCCTAACACTGGGGAATTCTGATAGTCCGAGTTATTACATGTAGAAATAAAGCTGATTTTCCACTACACAACAAGTCCCTATTCAGTCTGATCCTTTTGGTTAAGGAAAGATTGGTCCTTTGGACCTGGTTACCAAATCTGTCTTACTCTGTATGCTGGCAATGCTAAATCTATTTCCAAAGACGGAGACAAAAAGTGAGAACTGGGAAACTAAGACACTCATGTATTGTTATTATCCCCTTTTGAGGGAGAGCACATGGACAAAGACTGAAGCAAGTGCCCTGCGGACACCTCCTACCAGGCTCAGCAGTTCTGATACAGGGGCCTTTGCAAGAGGAGAAAAAACTAATTAATGGGAAACTACAGCTCATGTTGCTTGAAAAGTTATGGGTAATAGGAATTTTATTTAATATCTCCGTGGGAAAAAATATGCTAGAAGGATGGAAGCCATAAAAGATTTTAAAAAATCTTAGATACTGAACTGCTTTTTTAAGAACAACATTAAAAATATAGATATATATTTCAACAACTCCTAAGGAGGAATGAAAGCCTTTCATAAATTCATATTTATAAATAAATAGAATTTAGAAAACACATATATGGACAAGCACATCCACAGGAAGTACATTTTGCCATGTGAGCAACTGCCAACATAGACTATACACCAGGAACCTTTAAGAACTCGAAAATGTTGGCCACTTTGGGAAGATCAGCCTTCGGTGGAAAGGAAAAGAAGGCGGCAGTTACCATCTAGTAAGTCTCTCTTTTCCAGCAGAATTCCCACATGGAAAAAAAAAAAGAAATCTTTGAATTACCGTTCAGGTGGCTTCAGTGCCTCATCAGAGGTCAACATGGCTGTTGACAAGATGTCATTGGTACGACTGCTCAGTAGTCATGTTAGTAGGCTTCAATTCATTAAGCCAGCAGGTCTGTGTCTTCCAGTGCCTATGACTCTTCCAGACTTTACTGTGGTCAGTGCTCCTTCACCCATGGAATACGCGGGGTTTGAGACGGAGAATCAGAGCAGCAGAGCTCATTTGAGCTGCTGAGGAGTTTGCACATGCAGGGGTATTTTGCTGGGGGGGGGGTCTGTTCCTTTCTTAATCCTTAAATGTAATTTTAGGAATTTTGCGTTTCTTGATTGTTCCTAAGCACAGAGGTACGCTTTAATAGAAGCGCATACCAAAACTGCAAGACCTTTCTCCTGAACACCAAGGCTCCATGCCCACCACCTTGCAATTCGAGCTCACTTAGCCCTGGTAAGGGCAGGACTAGTACAGCGCTACTCCGGTCAC